CGGCATTCGACCATCGATCGTTCAACAGTAGTACCTTTTATATGTCACGACAATGAGCCACAATATTTCAAGTACGATATTGATTTGTTTTTCTCAAGTAATGAATCGACATGTTACATCTTGTTATTCTAGCATTAATCATATCTGTATGAAGTCATCACCAATTGATACAGAACTACGTCTGCTTCCATTACACACCTTATTCGATTCAAATATATATTTAGACAATACGACAACCGAGAATGATGAGAATCAAATTTCAAATAAAGTTCAAATACTATCACCATCATCAGTCATGGTAACAACATATTCGAATCCACCTGTCAATCAAACAAGTAGAATTGCTGATCATGATCGTTCTTATACTACTAGGTGGAAAATAATATTTTGCCAGGGGAGTACCCCTATAATTTCTAATAGAAGACATAATGAATTTTATATCAAATGAAAGCTCGTCAAAAATGGGGTTTATTGATACTAAATAGTAAGGATTATGAAAACTTTTTAATATCGAACTCAAGTAACTTTCAGAAATTTTATACTTTTTTTGTGGTGGAAAAGTGAAGTGCCAGTAATTGAAAAATGGATTAAAATGTTTTTCTTGGATATTTTTACATGGTTCGATAGAGCTCAGCGAGCTCTACAAAACTGTATATACTAAAAAATTTTCAAACAGACTTGTTGGGTTAAAACTCAATGAAAACTGTCTAAATAATGTACCGAAAAACCCTCATTTTTTACACTTTTTATAGAGAAAAAAAGTGGTCTTTTTTACACTAAATTCAGCTGTTTTCCATTAGTATCCTTATGTAAAATGTTTAAAAATATACTCATTCGATGCAGCGTGAAAAACTGCATCGAATGAATATATTTCGAAACATCTGAGGAAATAAAAATAATCAGAAAAAAGGAAATTATATTGAAAATTCGAGTGTTTTTCTTCCATATCAAAAATATGACTTTTTAAACATTTTTTAAGATTTTCCAAATAGTTTTTTGAAATTTTTAGCACAAAAAAAAGACTCAAAAACTTTTAAATATATACAGTTTTGTAGAGCTCGCTGAGCTCTATCGAACCATGTAAAAATATCCAAGAAAAACATTTTAATCCATTTTTCAATTACTGGCACTTTACTTTTCCACCGCAAAAAAAGTATAAAATTTCTGAAAGTTACTTAAGTTCGATATTAAAAAGTTTTCATAATCCTTACTATTTAGTATCAATAAACCCCATTTTTGACGAGCTTTCATTTGATATAAAATTCATTATGTGTTCTATTTGAAATTATAGGGGTACCCCCCTGGCAAAATATTATTTTTCACCTAGTACATATGGTGATCTGGATCGACAAGCTATTGTTATGCTTTGTCAATTTAATCTTCAAGCCTCACCATCATCTTCTCGTTGTAATGAATCATATTCAACGCGAATTTGCTATTGAAAAAATTCAACATATTTGTGTTGGTGAAGCAATAAATGAAATTGACCATCAACAAACTTTAGAGATATAAATTATTTTTAAAAACAAAATCAATAGAAAAACACGATTTCTTGATTCAATTACTCAATCATTGTGTAATTATCAAGTGACACAGTATAATCTTGCATGGAATGAATATATTAAGAAAAGTCTAAATTTTCTGGAATATGGTCAATTTCAAACAATAAAAACACGTAGACATCAACGACGGCCATCATCATCATCATCAGTATTAACAACAACAACAACAGCAGCAGCAGCAACAAAAGTGGCAACATCAAAAGTAGCAACAGAAACAGCAACATCCTCTATTCGAATTTCATTCGAACAAAAATTCAGTCATTAATACTAAAAATAAAAACAAACGTACGAAAGCAAACAGAAGAACGACGTAAACATAATAATCGAAAAGCTGAACAAAGAGTTAAACGAGCACAAACAAGTATTGTTTTGAAAGATGAACCTATGGAGAAAATTCACACGTATCAATGAAAATCTAAACTTGTTTATTCGCGAGTTTCATTTTACAATATTAGAAGATATATTTAAGAATTGATAATTATTTTACAATTTATCTTTTCATTTCTTTTCCATATTGCTTAAACATGTAACTACGTCACTTTTTTTTGGTTTAATTCAAACAACATATCGTTTTGAACAAACTTTTCTATTTATAGTACTAGTAGTTGTAGTTGTTGTTCTTGTTGTTTATTTCCTTATGAATTTTTTCGTCTATATCTATGGGCTATAGATTATTTCAAAATCATGTTTTACCTTATATTTTTCATATATTTTTATCCTAGCATAGCATTGATTATCATATATATTGTGCAATTTTCTCTTATGGTTTTCATTTGGTTTTATATTAACTCTAAGAATCATTCATCGAGGTCGTATGATCGTGATTCGTATTGCATTGATTATATTTTAAAAGTGGATTGAATTATACAATGAATTGATTATATTTTAGATTTTATTATTTATGTCACAAGTACCGAGTCAGAATTCAACATTCGATGAAATTGATAAACTACTTGCTGATCCCGAATTTTGTCAAGCACTACAAGCGTGGCAAGATAATACAGGTAAGTATAGCAACAGAAACGAAATTTATTGAAGAATATCTTACTATTTTCACTATTCTAAAGAAGACATTACCGTTCATTCACCAACACTAAACACACCGGATGCTTTAAATACCACTTTCGTCGATGTATGTATCATTCTTCATGGAACTAGACTGAACAGTGAAGATCTTTCTTTTTTTTTCTATACAAACAGGAGACCAATGTCAATGAACATGAACAAATTAATTTACCTCAACAACAAAGTAAAGATTTCTTTTTCAGAAAAATTTCATTTTATAATTATCAATGGTATATGTCAAACTATGAATGATGCATTAGCCGTCATTCGTCAATTAATGGAGACAACAGTCGCACACGAACACAAATTGATCGATCAACCTTTGCCAGCAATCACAGTGGAAGCAAACCTGATTGGAACAGTTGATCTATCATCATCACCATCTCATGCAATCGATCTATGTACAACTACACCAGTGATAGTTGATCTTTGTACGCCTACACCAGCGACAATTGATCTTTGTACACCGACAGCAGCAATAATTGATCTTTGTACACCTTCAACACTGACAATCGACTTATGTTCACCTGAAATAACATCCAATACGAACTCTACTGACTCACCACTTCGTTTAAGTCCAAAATGATACTTGGCTTGTTTTTTTTTCAATTTTTTTCCATTCTCTATAACTTATTTCAATAATTTCTGATTTATTTCATAGTTCTTCATTTCTTTGCTTTCATTTTTCTTCACATTTCTTCTAGATGATTTATTACGGGGCAGTCTGCCATGATTGATCAAAATACTCCAGTAAAAGCCAAAATAATGAGTAAAATTGCAATGTCTTCTATTTATTTATTGCTTTATTTCTCTGTTTGTATATTATCATATCAATCTCGAGGGCCAACTCTTCAAAGACAAGGATCCGGGAAAAAAACTATTGGCCTCATCGATGAAATTGACAAACGAAGTTATTCGGACAGCCTTTACTATCAACAAATGAATCAGTTGAACGTTATTACGAGGTCATCAAAACAAAATGATTAATTGACATAAAAAGGCATCCAAATCATATATGACAGAAGCATCACAAATACTACTGTCCAAACACGTCCGGCTTAATGCAGGAAAAAGCCTTTCATCTGATCGCATGAAGCTACAAAAAAACGCTCACAAACAACTACAGAAAAACTATAGTCAATCTCGCAGCATTTATCAATAATAGAGGATACAAAAAGTAACCAAGCGATAATAGAATAAAAAACATCACCGATACACAAAGAAAATCAGCGATCACATGATGCTCTTCTCAATGGTTTCAACTTTGTTTCGATTCTCGTTTTCTTCGAAAATTAAAGCCGAAATGACTACCATCTGAGCATGCTGTCTCACACAGTATGAAATGACTACTCTACGCGTTCACACTCATACCACATGATTGATGGAAAAGCGCTCATCATCACACCTTAAAACTACATTAGAATAAAGAGCCAGCTTTATGAAAAACTCCCTCTTGCGCTTCTTTATTCTCAGAGCTTTCTCTTTAGAAATCAGTAACATATAATAAACTTCTCTTATGCATATTTAAGACCACTGTATAAGAAAAACTTTTCATCTATAATTTTCTCTATTTCAGATAGAATCTTGCCGACGAAAATCACAACCTGAACAAGATACAAAAACCAAAGCAAAAGTTCAAAAACTGCGTATTGCATATGGATTGTGATACGATTGACTTAAATCAAGTAGAACAGGCGACTTCCTCGTTGACTAGTGATAAACGACAAGGATATCAGCCAAGAACATTACAACAGCAACATAATAATGGACGATATGCGTATTTGCCGATATTTCCAACAACATCTGTGGCGGCTCCAAATGATTGTCTACTCTTGGTCAATGTACCAGGTTCGTATTTCGATATGTGTTGACAAAAAATCTTTTCGTTTCTTTTTGTCGTCATTGTCATCTAGTTACTTGTCTTGCACCACACGAGATTGTTCGACGTCAATATCGAGCGTACATGTCAGATGCATTGATGATGATGAATAAGTACAATTACTACGATACATTCAGTTTGTCTGAACAAGATGCTGAAGAATTAGCTATGCGATTAAAAGTAGGCAAATCAATCATTACTTTCAAT